TTTAAGTAGTGACACCGTTCCGTCTGATATCCAGTGCTTGAGTGCGCCTGGTTGAGTCGTGCCACAGGCAAAATTCCCAGCACTATGTAAAGAGGTAACAGTTACGCGAGCCACCGATCCATTGTCCCATATTTTTGTACTCATAATAACCCTATTTTCCCTTATGAGGACTGATAACGAAACATAAGGCCACAGAAATATATTGGCTGCAATGATCGTACCACCATGTCGATTGTTCTCTATGCTTGTTCACTCTTCTGCAAAGACAACTACCTAATAAGCCCACCCAGATAAATGTCTGTCCATACAATACACAAGAGTGTGTTTGCATGCGTTCAAAGCAATGAACCATTTCTAATCCATTCGGCTTTGTCGATAAATTTGTGAGCCAATGTGAAGCTAGCTAAAACCAGTGGAAAATACAAATCAGGTAGACAATTATTGAAAATGACAACAAGTCGCCCCTAAGTGTGCTTCGGCAACTGGCTAAACCTAGAGGCAAACCGTTATTTTATCGATCGAGTCACTAGATACATAACAAAATGATTTCGCGCAGATCGAGCAAACACATTTACACATCTAAGGTACACACTATTTCAGTGGTGCTAAACATTTCAACCCTTGGCAATGCATCAGATCAAGATTCATTCAATGAATGTTGGTAATATTGGGAACAAATCAACGCTTTGTGAAACTAAATAGTTTTACTACTCTTCATCCAAGGTTATTTCATAATTTCACTCTGTCAATGATATGTAGCAAGTTTTTTCATTATTGTTACCATGGGTTACGCAAAGCTAAGCCAGATCGTTTGTTTCATCAGCGATAAGTTTTATCGCTGGTCCCTGTGTCCGTCAATTCTCCAGTTCTTCATTCGACGCGCAAGACCTTCAATTCTTAAGTGCCTGGCTGAGCAAAATCATTTTTTTTTCATAAGGCACGTTTTTAATGAATGCTACCTTGTTTTAATTGTTTGGGCAAATTAATTGCAATCTTTAAGAGAAAACGTCTTCTCTTGTTAGTTTGATGGACTAAACAATAGTCCTGCAAACATCTAGAAGCAATATGGCCAACGTTCGTTTAAATAGGCCAGACTCAGATGCTAAATGTTAGAACATCCTTTATCTACGTGTTCAAGATGATAGGAAGACTAGTACTGCGGGGCGCAAGCACATCGAATCATCCTGCAAGGTGTTCATACACGAGAATGGAATCAAAATATCCGTGTTACGTCACAGACGCAATAACTCACGGACACACCCCAGAATAAAAATAATATCGTTATTCGATCGTTACTATGATAAAATGCCTTTTGACGTAAAATCGTTCAGACGCATGAGGCTGGTTGTAGCCGTTTGACCAGTAACATTTCACCAACCACTCGAATTTCTCAGTCCGTTTCAGGTAACAGAATCTCAGATGAACTACTCGTTTCTAGTTACGCACCGCAATCACGTGCCTGTTGATGATCGACTAGAATAGCGTACTTGCTGCCTACTTTGTCTGGATAGTGAATGCCATGACATTTTCTTGACCGTCAACTCTTTGACCTGCTGAATCTCTTCTTGTTTGTACTTTGTTTCCTCGACCAACATGTAAGGCACATTAGTGAGTGTTCATTTAGGACTTTGAGGACGCGATTTTTCAAATGCAGGCCAGAAGCTGTAATTTGGTAGCCGAGTATTACTGGTTTCCCACCCTTCAAAGAATCTAGTAAAATAAAAGTCCATTTTTGCAGTGAAATACCCAGTACATATGAATTTCTGATTTGAGAGTTTTGATAGGTCATTTATCTTTTTGGTCACCAAATTCAGACTGATCACATTTGGTTAACCAGTTGATGCTGGTGATACTGAGGGCAGCATAACCAATTTGGATTATTTGTTGCCACCGAAGCAACCAGCCATCAACTATAATGTGTTTACTGTTCAACATATAACGTTTTCTCAGAGATTTTGCAGTCGTTATAGTGAAAACATACACTGGATTACGCGTACGATAGTTGTCTTCATGGTTTTAGTTCAGGGGGTTAATTTGTAGCAGTGAATCTAGATGAGTCGCAAAATAGAATGTGAGGAAATCTGTTAGCAGTTTTGAGCAAGTTGTCAAAAACTGGCAGATTTAGGGAGCGATATTTTAAGGTAGGTTCAGAATATAATTTTATGAATGCCTCTTATATTGCAGTTCACCAGGCCGGTAACATTCAGATATTCTGTCGAGCAACCCGTAGATAGTAATGTTTCAAAAAGAGAGGCACACATGAGGATTAGTATCCGGACATTAATCTAATTGTGAAATGGATCTATAGTATTGATTAATTGAATATCTTCCGGTCTGAGCCCAGTTGTCCACTAGGGTGGACTGTTTTGATCATATCCTCTTTCAGTATCTGCCTGTTGACAGAGTTGTATATATACAGCCCTGGGAGATCAAAGTCAAATTTACGGTTGCAAATGAGGTCATGCATTATTAAACAGCTTGCTTCTGCTAGTGATCTTGACTACTCAGAAGACGTATACTACTGGCAGAAAGCTTACATGCAGATGACACTGCCAGACCAGAACCGTTGATATCCTTGCTCAACGTGCTCCACAAATACAGATTCTGGTGTTTGCGAAAACTGAAGGTGCTCTAAAAATGCTAACCGGTGAAAAGCTTCTGGCTTCTTTCTTGTCGCACGCATTGGATAGCGACCTTTAACTGAACGCAAGCACTCAGTTTTCAACAATACATCCGTCTTTTTGCGCTTTATTCGGAAGTGGTTTACACAGAACTTCCTCGACTATGGGCATAATGGGTGTAGTGTGAGCCGCTTCTGACAACAGTTACCGATGGAATAGTTCAGGTCCCATATCCCGTCAGTTATGCTGCAAAACTATTTAATTCATTCGCGGAAAACATCCAGCTCCATCGGCTAGGATGGCTCTTTCGTGTGCTGCGCGTGTTAGAAGAGTGTCTGTTAAGACGAACATTGATCCCCGTCCCTCATTCAGATAAGCGGAGACTGCTGCGTGGACAAAGTGATACTTAGCAATAGGGCGGGAAAGATATTATGACGAGTTTTGGATGTTGTTTGTATGGTACACTTTTCATGAAGGGGTCACCCTAACACTCCTGAGTTTGGCTGGAGACAATGCAAAAAATGGAGACTGATTGATGCCAGTGACGTTTACAATATCAATTTTTATTCGATCGTTTGGATGAGAGTTTGGAGGTGCAGGTACCTAAGAATGTTTGCGACAAGTAGCTAACTGGTCCATTTCATCACCCACCCTCTTCTTTTCTTTCCATTCTAAGTCGTCAGATATAATTACACAGCCTTTGTGGTTGTACGGCAGTGAAGCTTCGCAGTCAGTACTGAAGTTGCTGTCTTTGACGCTTATGATGATGGTAATGATGATTTACGAATCAACTCAGACGATCAATGTGGTAGGACAGAAACCGGAAGTTTTTAGGTGATTTACACAAACGAATCGATACAGACCTGATTTGCAACTCCCACTGAAGACCACTTGCAATAATTTAGCAGTATATTTGGTAGTATACAACACATTCATGGCACATCTTTGGGGAATATTGGAAAGGAATGGACCGTGTGGATGCTTTTGTGATTTCAGACATCGTGGCACACAAACTCTCACGTACATTTCATCCATATGAATTGCGGCCGAAAAAGCATACAATCCTATGCTTGTTAACCACTATGTTGTGGACTCGTCTTGCTCGTGATGACTCTTCAGATCGTCGGTTTGTTCAGTAACAACTGGTATCCCAGCGGATATTCCAATCATTGGGTTTGTCAGTCGCCGTCGAAGATTTCTTAAGTTACACTCCGGATATGCCACGGTTAAGTGGATTAGAAGGTTGATCACGACAATCGTCAGCGGAAGCCAGGTACCGAACCTCTCGGGGCTGCTTGAAGTAATGGTCCCTAAAGGCGGGATAGTTTGAGCAAAGAAAGAAGAGATAACGTGGGCATTTTACAGCAAACCGTGTTTGCCTAATCATAGTGCACCGTATGTAAGGCTGAAATCCCCTCAGAACCTAAGAAACTTACCAAAGGTATTTCTCTTTCAAAATAACAGCACCGAGCAATAGGCTAAAATGTATTTGCTGATATTTAAGTTTCGGTTGTTAGTGTAACTTAGAATTACACGAAAAGAGAATTTCGCCCGAAGTGATGCTCAGATCTCATTGGATTATTCAGTCATAACTAAATTAGAGCGCACGAATTAAGTTAGCATACTCTTTGATTTAAATATCTCACCAACTTGTAGGCTGTGGGTTGTTTAAAATGCGCGTAAAGCCTGCCCTTTTCAAAATTCCGTGTATTGATGTCGTTAAACGACCACTGGAGCTAGATAAACTGTATGACGAGGTAGAAAGGAAACCAGTTTATGGCGATCAACTGTAAATGGAAAACCAATAACTTCTATCGTAAAGATATGTGGTGGGAGCAACAGATGTGGCTTTCTCGTTTGCCCGTAACTGCCATTAAAATTGAACTCGGGTTGTCAGGATAGATGCATTTCTCCACGCAAATGTGTATCCCAAAAATCTAAATGAAATGACTGTTACAATGTGATTGAAATACAACTAATCTCTAATGCTCAGCCACCAGATAGGGAATTCGGTTCATTTTCAAATTGGTATCAGCGGGCTGTCATAACGTACGAAAACAGTCAAACTCATAACAACACCGTAAATTTTGTACATTTCCATTCTGGGTTGGTATTGTGACACCCGCGTGGTATTTCTCACTTACACCTTACCACTTACACACAAATAAACTGCGGTAGGACAATATTATAAGAGGGCTGCCTTTGAAATGAGGCCAGGTCATTCAAATGCTACCCACTCAGCGTATAAATTTACATTTTGAACTACATGACTGACGGCCTTCGCTTGAACCGTTTTGCTCACTTGATTTATTGGATTGAACAAACAACAAACGGATACTGAGTACTTTATGATCATTATGAATGCAACCGAAATGTGCCACATGGTCTCACTGAAGCGAATGCTCCTTTTGCCTTCATACTACCGTGAAAACAAGTTGAGAATCTAATGCTGAGCTTCGACTTTAGATTTATTGAGGTTTCCACTAGCAACAGTATCATTCTGAGTTGAAAGCAATGTCCTAGGCAACTATGTAGAGTCGAGCCAGTCGTCCTAGAACGCAGATTAGGTAAGGCAGACAATTACTTCCGTAATGTTTTTCATGGGTTGTTGAATACTGAGACATCGATGGAACTGAAAATCAAACGGTACATGAGAGATTGTTCTAGTGAACAACCGGACTTGTATGATTCTTCTGTTTCAGTACGTGTGTACGGGTACATAGAGACAAACAGAGTGTTAGTCAAGGTTGGAGAATCTCACAATATAGGATTCTGAAAAATATTCTTCCTCGTGCATGGGCAGCCTATACTAAATATTTTGGAAATCTATTTTTAAAACCCACAGAATATTCGTCTTCATCTCAGTAATGTACGTTCAGCACATTCATGCACCTACACTTATCGTGGTGAAAACAATTTTGATAGCTAAAAATACCAGCCTTTTCTTAAGTGAATTAAAAACCCATTTAGCATGAGATATCTTCCTATGTTTTTTCAAACATTTCTGTGAAAACAAATGTTCCTTGTAGTAGGCATGATTGCCGAAACCAAGTGAGAGAAAGGACATAGGCTGCTCACACGCATACTGGGCAAGAACGAATACACAGCAAACTTACAGATCAGAAAAATGAACGTAAAAAGAGTTGACGCGTTTTGTGCAATCTTCAGTCCTTCTTTTGTCCGACTGCGCAGAGCGAAAAATGCCACAGTTGCTGAAACTACAAAACCGGAAATAAATAACTATTTGTAAGGCACGAGACAGGGTCAATTCGTTTTCTGCCTATCTTAGTGGATTATGAAAGTTTTGTTTGGAGGAGTTACAACTTGCCGGTCTTCGCGTCAAGAGAAAACCAATCATTTAAAAATATCACTGAGAAAAAAATGTGTAACAATAGGCCTAAACAAGAAAATATAACAAATACGCTGTTCTTCCGAAGCACAACGTTGTTTACAGAGCTATAACTATAACTGTCAACTATTATTATTAACTATTAACTATAATTAAGCTGTAGATTGCAATAAAAAGCTGAGAATTTTAGTGCCAAATACCGATGTAACGGTGTATGATACTGATGAGGGATGTGAGTAGTTTGTTTTTTTCGTAAATCCGCTCAGCGTCTATTGAAAAGTGAGATTTATTGCGGAAGTCGTGGAGTTGCTTGGTAGCTTTTGTTTACATTTGAGTGATAGTCAATGGATATCCAGGAAAGCTCAGCAAGGCGCGTTGGAGAAGAAGACGGGTACTCAGTTTTTAAAAACGAGATGAATATGAGAGTTTTGCTTCCATGTCCAATAGTCTGTAAATGTTCATTTGATATTTTCCAATAATTCCTCGTGTTTTTTTGAATTAGGGAAACGTATATTTAAATGATGGCAATGTGCGCTGCGACCCAATATGACCCCACTTTACCTATAAATATTACCAAGTAAACGGCAAAAACTGATTTTTTGCTGCGGGAACGTACTTTTAGAGGACTGGATATGATATTGCAAGCCTCTCATTTGCGGTGTTCAAAAGTCTTAGACGGTGTCGTCCGTTCTAGGTTGATTCAGTGATGCAATTCTGCCAGCTTGCACTTCCCTATGCAAGGCAATAGTTTGATGCCAAACTGCCTAATTTCCTATGCATCTTCATTTTCTAGGCTAATTTTTCGTGTGAATTCGACTGGTATCTATAGAACCCCTGTTTTTGGAGCAACACGTAGTGATAATTTTATTAGGCTAATTTTGCATACAGGAGCAGTCATCGCCTTACATAGCGTTGAAATCAATTTCAGATCATATGCATGATGTGTCCAGAAATGTACACACACAGCACACACATACTTGAGGATTAATTGTTTCAAATGGATCTAGCGCGCTGCCATTTTATTCGGTTTGTGCTTCATAAGAACTTCGACCTCACACCTAAGTGATACTTAAAGGATCATACTGGTTTTTGTAACTGTTAATTGTCGGTTTCGATTAGGGACAGCAGTGCTCAACACAAAATATCAGTGCCTATTTACTGGATTAGGATATGCTGAAAGCAGTAGTAAAGCGTAGTAAAGCGTAGTAAAGCGGTCGTAAAAGTTTTATTTAGGCGCAGTGTTTGGTTACTTCAACGTCGATGCTAGTTGCACAGACAGCAGACAGCAAATTCGACTGATTTGTTGATTTATAAATAGGATAACTTAAGGTAAATGTGTACGAATGCGCCTCAGAAGCAGCAGTATCACACGCACACCAGTCTCTGGTAGAGATGCATATTTCATGTTTGACGTGTCGCTCTGGGTACGCATTTTATTTCCACCGATGCTCCAGACCGTTGATGTTTCCGCCATTTCGCCATCCGTTAGGATAGCGTGCGCCGACAAAAGGAATACCGACCCGTTTTCTCCGCAGTTTTATCATTAGTGCAGTGTCAATCAAATATGCATTAAAACTTCATATGTGCTCTCAGCATAATTTTCATCATAACAAAATCCAAGGTGTCCAAACTCAGACAATTGAAAAAAACTTTTCTACTCACTGAGGCTACCATATCGTTGTTATTCAACAGTCACTAGCCATAATTAATATCAAAAGATAACAAGCTAGCTCACTATTGCATGTATTTAAATCATTTCTGTCCACCTGTTCGCAACACCGACGGGTTTTTATTTACTTCTGGCTTGCAAAAAGCTATTACTATTCGGCCAGCTGCGGTCAAATTTGGCCGAGAAACCAGCCCTTTGCAGACGAATAGAGCTAGCTACACTGATACTTAAAAACGGAGCCTTTTTTATCAACATATATCAGTGGCCAAACTTAGGATTTCATGATTTGTCACATAAAACTGTCTGACCAGGCTTATTTAACGTAGCATAACGTTTGGTTCCCATGTATTATCATGAGATCTGTGAAATTTTCATGTGTCCACAGTCAACTGGATTTTATTTAATTTGGTTGCTTGAAAACGAAATTTCGTCGTGTGTGAGTAGGTCGGGTGTGTTTGCCTGAAAATCCAAGATTGTGTGCTAATTGCAGTTGAAAGTTTAGTCGACTTACAAGTATTCAACACTAGTTCAGTGAAAAACTTCAACGCGCTTACGGTCACCGTCGCCCTAACTGTTGTTTTGAGCTTACGATTAGAATCACTCCTTGTGAACATAAGTCATAAGGCTTGTTGTTGATGGTTCCGGCGATGCATGCACGAAACCATCCGCTACATCCCATGCAACGTGGCAAACAAATTTTCGTGTGAGGACCTATCTATTCTTATCCCCGCAGATCTGAACAGCTGGTAAGTTCCCATCGTGGCTCATCAACACCATGTGTATTTGATACACAAGTTGCTTCATTTGCATGACCATGGTCTTCTATGGTATTGCAAACTTTGTGATTAACAAGATAACCAGGGCTTGGGTGGATTAAAACTCGAATAGCAATATATGGTTTAAAGTGTCTACACACGGCCACAATCGGCACTTGGTTCGGTGTGGTATGCCTGTCTGCCACACTGCATATTTTGGTTTATTCGGTAAGCAATAGAAGTGAACTCACCTGAACAACTCCCACATAGAAAAAAACAACAGTCACGTTGTTTTGAGATAAGTATTTGTCCTATTTCGTCACTAAACGCCGATGTGTTTTGCGGCAGTTGAACAAATTTCCCCAGAACCGATCGACCTACTGTATCGGGAAGTAACTTAGCCTGAAAAAAATAAAACGGAGAGGTCAGTACATCACGCGCATAAACTTAAGAATAAGCTAAAATTCAAGCGCTTTTGAGTAAACTACTAATCTTTTTTGTTTGTTATGAAATAATTGTTTTATGATATTATTGACCGCCATCAAGAGAAAGTTCATAGTGTTCTTGCATCCCCAGCAATTCCTAGCGAGTTTCTTTAATATTTCCCGTATCAACTGAATCTTTCCGGCTGACACACTGAGTCTTCAGTTTGTATGGTGGAACGCCCAGCAGAATTCCACGTGAAATCTCTGCAAGGTCGAGGTACACAAGGTGCGGTCAAAATCACACCAATTTCCTGTTTTTAGAAAATATCCTTTTTCTAATAAACGTTTGGTAGTGATCCGGCTTGCTAGGATAAAGTGGACCAATCTCAGTTTCCGTGGATTTTGAAAAAACTATGTTTATCAGCAAATGAGACAGTCAAAATCGCCAACTCTATTGTTCATGGAACAGAGGACAGCCTGACTGAATTGTTCGATGAGTGGAGCGTATTTGTTAGGTAGAGCGGAGTTATTTTCTGAATTCGCTACACCAATGAAAGCAGTCGGTATAAATTTATACCTAGCATTAGCTTGAATAATAGGGATCTGAACACATCGGTCCAATTTTTGTGAGATTGCTTTCATTTGCGTCCTTGTGAAGAATTATTTACCAAATATTCTATTTAGTGAGGTGCGAAAGATTTTCTCGGAGGAAAACAACTCCACGAAAGTCCGGGATATCATCAACTGAAATGGCTTTCGGGACTCCCAGAATTAGAGTTGTGAAAATCCCAACAATATACCACATGCGAAACACAGTTAGACTCTAATGGCGTGTCATTGCATTCCAGGTATACACCGTTTCGCTGACAGGCGCAGCTCACAAAAAATGCAGACTTGTTTCTCATGATGGTTTACAAATAATAACTGTTCGAATTCTCCTATCTGCAGTGGTGAACTTCAGTAAAATTTCACAGTGGTGCATAATACTCAAGGACATATTTGAGAACCTTGAGTCATACACTTCCACTTACCAGTACTCCGAGGACAAACACATGAGACCAGATAAACCAGTTCCAGTAATAAGCAAGTGTGCATTCCAAGCTTTCATCGGGTTCATTCTCCCCGAGAAGTTGTACAAGCTGCAAAGAAGCAGAATCAATTAGGTGCCATTCACAAACTCTACATCAGTAGTTTAATACAACGTACACTAAACGTTAGCTAGTGGATTGGAATATCTTCCTGGGTTTCAAAATCCGTTAGAAAGTTTGTTAACACCGCACGGAATACCTTACATTGTCCTCAACTAATGAGCTTTGACAAAATAAAATTGAACCCGGAGTCGGCATTGGAGAATGTAACATGAAATACGAGACTTAACCGTTTGGATTTTCTCTTTAGTTTAGTTAAGATGGGAAAATATGAGATTGTTGATTTGCATAAACCTCTTATTTCGCCTGGTTAAAAGGGATCGTAATCGAGCACGGTAATTGCCCCCATAAAAACCCTTTTTTGGACCAGCTTTACAAAGATATACAATTTTTAGACGGACTTGCTCCACCATAATTCACTTACAAGTTCACAGCGTCTCCTGGGGCCCGTGTCTGGGGAAATAGCTGAAACCGTCCTTTGTATCTGTAATAAACATTCTAAGGCAAACGCCACTACATGAGCTCTAATTAGCAATTACATTCTACGACCTTTTCATGGCGTTGTTGATTCTAAAGAAGATACATATGCGCGAGCTGGTAATGCTTGCTTTATTGGAACTCAAAACTGAGGAACAATCTGTGATCCGCAGTCGACAACAGCCATAAGCTTGAGTGAACTGCGGCGGGTTTGACAGTTCATATCATGTGATTTCAGTAGTAGTGTTTAGAATCGGCCTAACGATCTACTTGCTTGCGTTTCAGTTTTCAGTTACCTGCACAAGGCCACAGCTAAACTGGGTTGTTGCCCCTAAAACCCTTCATTGGTAAATCATGGATATTTGTCTGAATTAGAATTCTGTCCGTTCTTTTGTTCACAAAAGTGTCCCGTCAATCAAAATACCTTTTCACTCCAATGACAAATGCATCGAACAAGAAAAATCCCCAGCGAGCTCAAAGGTGCATAAAATCTTTGAGTGTAGACTCTTTGCTCCAACAGTCGTTCTAGTAAGAATCTGACTTCAGTGATGTGGTATTTCCTTCCAAAATGACGATGAAGAAGAACAATATGAATTTCAAAGAAATACTAAAAATATGACACAATCATTGCACACACTGATAGTAGTTAACTCCTTGAAGTAAATATTTTGAGTGACCAAACCGACCACGCATCAGATCTGATCTGTGTATTTCGGAAATGTTTTGCGTTACAACATCAGTTTTTACCCTCATAGTGCTTTTATCCCATAACCCATATTTTCAATAAAAATACCATCCTTTCGGTGTTCAAATTAACGACAAAAATCCTGTTTATACGGACGCATCAGCTAATGGTCACTTTGGACATTCTGTTCAATGTCCAATTCAATATTCATCAGTTCAACAGTAGAAATACGTCACGCCAAACGACGAATAAAACTTACACGCTCACCGTGCTACTTTGCTCAAATACACTTCCCGTTGAAGTTTCGATGTACCTTGTATGAACTACATGCATAAATCGTGACTAATGAGGCAACTCTACAGTCAAGATGCCAAAGCCGCGTTAGAAACTGTCTGCAGTGAATTTATGCTGAACTAACTTTAGCCGTTGATGTACGCACACAAAGAAATACAACTAACTGACGGATTACGCCAAAATTCAACATCAAATGAAATATCTGACAAAGCCTTCAGAGTAATCATGTAATGCGGCAAAGAATTACTTTACGAATAATGTCCGCAAACAAAAACTAATCGGCTGGAAGTTCAAAGAACAACTTAACTACGCTTGCTTTTATCCGGTGCAATTCGGATCTAACTTTGTTGCACTGACACTGAGTGCGTGTCCTGAGTGTGCATGCTGGCAAATTACGGACAATAAATCTGATCTCACTGTCAAAATAACAACACAGAATGGCGAAACCGTGGTTACTATATGGGTTGGTTTCCACCTGATATCATGAGGTAATAGAGTTGAGTCACCCTAGGAGTTAGCAGACTCAGACAGATACGAACCTCACTAGCCTTAGAAAATCAAACTAAGCTGTGTACTACAGTGGGTTTATGAGGTTTATGTGAGAAGGCTTACCAAATAGCTAAAGCCCGCACCCTGGTTAGAGTTATAAGTTCATCATGATTTAATACAGATTACAAGGATTGGAAGGACATTTCTGGCAACTTATTACTTTTCCTGGGGAATTGGGAACGTCTAGTAAAAAGGTATTGTCATATATTCCTTGAGAATACATCTCCGAAGATTGGTCTTGTGTACATAAAATTCCTAATTTGCTAAATACATTTTACCAGACTGATTTGATATTACTCACGGTCGGTTAGTACAAAAATTCTCCGGAAACGTCACGTATCCTGGTAGTAAAAATGGCTTCTTATATGCAGCACTTATAGTTTATGACACATTATCTCTCCGTCTAGTTTTGTTTGTTGCATTTCATACCATAATTACTATACACCGGACCTCTTTTGCTGTGATGCTTTCAACAAAAAACAAGTGAAACGGACCTCTTTCGCTGTGATGCTTTCAACAAAAAACAAGTGACTAAATAACAAGTTTGAGCTCCAGATGGCTCAAAACGCATGCCTACTGGCCGGAAGTTCCGTGACTGAAACCTCACAGGGACATCTTGACTGCTCTTTCAAAGGATTGGGCAACGTGAAAATATCTCAACTCCGCGCTTTTCCAGCCGGGCATGGTGGATAGACACCAAAAGAGTGTTGCAGATGAATTATCAGTATATATAAGGATGTATGCATCAGTATTCAATAAAAGTGCACTCTCAAGTGTGTGTCAGGAAAGGGCTTTTCTGAAGTACATTTCCGTTCAGCCTGCCCTAGCGGACGTTAAGGCGAGAAGCTGTCAGCGAAGACTGCGACAGCGCAAAGTATGTCAGCTTATTGTACTTTCGAAGATGTTTCTTATTTTGCCCGATTAGTTAGTTGATAAATCACACTGCTGGAAAAAACGTTCATTGTCCTCCCTCTACACGTGCTTACAGGGATGGATACAAATAACCTAAACTTTTTCTGACTTTGGACGTTTTCTTCTGGGTTCAATTCTAACATACATGCTGCAAATCCAGGTCGCATTATTCCTGATTAAATTTTCGTTAGTCGTCCTCGATGACCGTTTGGGAGTGGTCTCTATTCCTAAGGTCATCGTGATAATTGACCGGAATTCACCACCGTTCCATCCAAACAATTTCAACTGCCTATGCAAACACCAGGTAACCTTAAGTGATTGTTCATTTCGAAACACAGAACGGAGCTACGATAATCCTCGCGTGACAGCGCCCTCACCGACATCTCATTTCATTGGGCATAAAACAAAAAAAACAAAGAATTTCAACAAAATTGGCTACCAGACATACATCAGTATCCCTCTAGTGACACGAGCCCCTTGTCTAAAAGCTCCGAGCTTTTTTCAGATCGAGCGTCTAATTTTATCATGGGAATAACTCCGGCTTATTCCAGTGCCTCTGTGTTTGCACATTTTGGGTCTAAAATGTGTACGTTCCTCAATTTAGGTTATTCTAGATTTTTAATCTTAATTTATGTACACACTTGGATGGTATCTCCTCTGCCACGATACATACCCGGAGTGGTTATCGTGTAAGTATTTTGCCGAATGCAGTGCAATCCATATGTTGCTCACCTGTTACATGTGCAATCGCAACAATTTCTAACTTTGTTCAACGTGACATAAACGCCTGAATCACAATATAACCTGGCGATTTGTCGATTGTTCGAGTCTCGTAATTCGTTTCTTCCTTTGTAATCACAAGATACGTTGTTTTAAAAATGTGCAACCTAACAGGTGTGTTGTTCTGGAATCTCATGTACACAATGGAATCTCATGGACACAAATATCCACATAATTCCATCCACCCGCCAACGGAATAGTGTATTGTCACTGAATTTAAATTAACAGATTGAGGAATAAAAGCTGATTCTGCTCAAAAAGCAACACACATCTTCTTTTCGGCCGTGTGGGCTTTCTACAATTTATCAATAAACAAAATATTCAATCAGTATGAAGGCACATGAGGATGTGAAATTTCGTAGTGCTAATTTCACGTACTCAACCCACTGGTTTAGTTCAGTTGAGTATCCGCCGTGCGAGTTCATGTTAGTTTTGAAACAAATCTAGACAAATATGGTGTTCGAAAACTTTTTTGTTTCGATATTGGACTACACTTTCTATTCCAACTTCTATCGGTTTGCGTATTTTTTGTTTTGGAGAGGCCATTTATGCTAAGATTTTTTACCGTCATTTGGATGGTCATCTTGTTCTTC